TAGTTTTTCTACTTCAGTATGCAATAATACTTCGGGCTTAATATAACATTGTAAAATTAATATATAAGCACCAATTAACCGTGAATGCAATAAATAAACTTTAGGAGTTGCTGATTGAAATTCTAAATTTAAGTTTACTAATGTTGGTAGTATAAATTCCAGAAATTCTAAATACATTTTATAAATAGGATTGTTTAGAGATTCAGAAATTGTTTGAGAATTATTTATACCATCTGCTATCTGTAAACCAAAATACAATTTTAGAGGTACATATTGCTCTAATACCCTTTTCACAACCATTAACAATGACAGCCATCAAGTGCAACTTAATTGCAATAGCTTATGAGGCTTTACATTAAAAAATTGTTGGAATTCTTTGAATTCATGTTGCCTTTTATAACTATGGTTAAAATAATTATAAATATTTCTGATTAACATTTCAACCTCATCAGGCAATTTTCTGCAACCATACTCAGCACAAAGAGCCAAGGAATGGCACACACATTTCATAACAAATAGTTCAGGAACATCATTTTTTAGGAGACTTTGTAAAGAATGATTCTTACCCATCATGGCATTAGCACCATCAGCAGCAAAACCAATTAAATTTGTTTGATACGGTATTTCACGGCTATTGAAAAAATGGATAATTGCCTCGTACATACTATCAGCTGTAGCGTTGGCAACTGGAAGTAGATTAAGAAACTGGTCGGTGACTTCTAAGTTCTGGCATGTACGCACTACCATTGCTAAATTTTTCACTGAACTTATGTCTGTTGATTCATCCACTAACAGTGAAAACTTGTTAGTTTTTAAATAATTGACCAAGTCTTCAAAACCAGTGGTCGCAATGACATTATTGATAATAGCGGTACATTTTGTCCGATCGCATGTTAATTTTGCCAAATATTTAGGCTCAAGTTGAATGGAGTTTATTAAACTGACTAGATGGTCAGAAACATTAATGGGAATGTTGTGTTCAACGACAAATGAAGCGATCCGAATTTCTGTTTCTTTTATATTTTTCATCACAGCTTTTTGCTTGATCATCGAAGGCATATTAAAAACACTATTGACTTTAACATTACTAGATAATTCGATGTGTTTTTTGGAACTGTTGTGTTTGTAGACTGCTGATATGCCACCTTTGCAATCACATGCACAAGTCCTGCAGTGAAAATGCGTTTCTCCTTTTTTACTTGCAGATATCCATTTGCAAAATTTGTCGTTCGATTCCCAGGCCGTTTGATATTTGTGGGTATAGGCCCACTTCTTTGGTTTTTGAGTGCCAGATGTAGACGCAATTGGTTCTTGGGTATCAGACTCCATGTCGGAGTCAGTATGATATTCCATTTAGCTAGAAATTAAAAAATATTATGAACCACATGCTTAAATATATTATATTGATTCAATTAATTAATAATTACCTATATATACAGACGAGACAAATACAAAATGTCCGTCAACTGACAACTCACAACACACGTCGAGAATCGAATCGACTTTTTCACTTTTGACGATAATTGATATTTGATAAACGATAAACTGAAATACTGAACTGAATAGTGAATAAAAAAAAGATTATTGATAATGCAATGTTCTTAACCATTAACTATGGTCACGTTTGGCTATTCTGTGATACGACCGAATTTGATCGGACGATAAAAAGATTTTGATTTTGGTCAAAAATATTCGGGAAAAAAAATGTTAAATTAATTTTACATCACTAAATTGAATATTCAGACATTTTTCTCCAAATTTCTCCAAAACATAATATTTTCGCCAAAATTTAATGAATTTCAAAAGTTTTTCTCCAAATCCCCAAAATGTTGGAAATTCTCCTAACCTAACACTGATTGTTTTTAAAACCATCGAATGAATTGCTCGATAGTTTTCATTCGTTAGTGGAACAGACTAGTTTTAACTATCGATAGTTTTCATTCGGTAGTAAATAGTAATACACGTCTAGTACCAAATATAGTTTTGACTATCGAGTTAAAAAAAACAATCGAGTGATTTTTCGGTATTATCGACTGAATTTTCTTGATAATTTTCACTTTTTAAATTTTTATTAGGCAAGTAGGCCTAAAATTTAATCAAAACAGGTAATATTTAATCGGATTCCCAATTGTCTTGACGCCTTCCAGGCGAATATACCACCTAAAATATTGGAACGGGGATGTTTTACATACAAAATCCATATAACTTATTAACTTTGGTAATTCTTTTTGGATAAGTTTTTAATTTATTAGCTTTAATTAATACAATATAATCATAGGCGAATAGTGGGGTGGTGGGTTGTCTAAGGGGACTATCGCCCCCCTAGAATTTTGTTTAGCCCTCCCATTTCGTGAATTTTTTTAGTTACATTTTTAGAATACATGTTGTGTACCAGAAATTGAATTGACTATAGCCCTCTCTCCATATAAATTCATCAGCATATGCCTATGAATCTAATTAATCTAAGTATTAAAAACTATGAGATTGTATTATGAGAAGAAAATCATAATAAATTATACGATAGGTTTTTGGTAGGTACCTAACTCTTATTTGGAAAATAGTAAATACTAAATACTGAGTATTTTAGAATTGTATACGCTATGTATGATTTGTATTTTGTACTAGATGGACAGTTGATACTTGATATATAACTAAAACACTATAAAAGTACATACAATTTATCCAAACCAGTTGGATGTATTTTACCTCGTATTTTACTATTTAGAGTTTAAAAAAAAACAATCAAAATAAGTATTTTTATTTTTATTTTTTTTATTTTACTTTTTTAATAGGGTATTATCAAAGTTTCAAGGGATTCTTAAGTTACAACTTACAATTATTAAAATAGATATGTGCAGTACTAGGTTTAATGACATTAATACAAGTTAAAAAACTTGTATGCAGGATGGGCCGCAAGCAGTCTGTCATTGTTCACCCCATATTTCATACTCACCAAAGCTATAAATATATTAGCTTAAAATTGCAAATTTATATGTCAACTTAAACCTTGTTCCACATACTTTTAAATAAAAATTATAACCACCGATATACCCTTATATGACCTTCCAGAGGTATATATTCAATCTTCAAACCAGTTGAATATTATCTGCAAAATAAAAAAATTAATAATTCAAACTACAACAAAATGTATTTTGGTTTTTAATTTCAAAGTATAAATTATACTGTATATTTTTATTTTTTACCACAATAAAATAAATAACTACATTACCTTGTCACATACTTGTTCCTAAAATTAAAAAAAACTTCCATATTTTTGTTTAAAAAAATTAACTTATCGACATTTTGAGGCAATAACCTATTACGCCGAGTTCTTAATATTTTCCCAGCTTAAAAAATTCTCTCAGCTCTCAGAAGTTGCTGGAATAATATAGTATTTCAATGCAATGTCACTAAGTGCTGATATTACAGTTTCGTGGTCGTTCCAAAATACAGCAACATTGCATTTTAAGTCTTGATGAGGCATACTTAAGTACTGTCCCATCAAGGATATAGCACTACTTGTTGTTGTTGTCTGCGATTGGACATTGGTGACTCTGGAGTTAAGAAAATTCCACACATTGTCATCATCAGTATTCAGATTTTCTTGATATGTAGGTTGTTCTGAAATTAAGTAAAATCTGATTATTTATTATTAATTATATGAGTGTTTAGAATTGAATTCTCAACATTTTTAATTACATTTTTCTACAAAAAGGTTTAATAAAATCACATTTAAGATTAATAATATTGTTGTAGTTATGATTAACATTTATTATTAGGAGCATGGAAATATTTTGAAATATAACCAAACAAGACAAGTGTTGATAGGACATCTGTAAGTACCACCTATATTTAAGGAGTACCTACCTACTTACTTAGTTTATTAATTAGTAATTACTTAATGTATTGATCAATCATGAAATAAACTAAATTCGATTTCATATTTAACTTACCATTAAATGTATCCTCTGGCATCATAAAACGCCGAACTTCATTATCCAATGGTAGATTATTTAATACCATATTTGATATTTTGCATTAAATTATGTTGCATTATAATAAAATCTACATCGTCATTAGCCATGATCAATAATGTGTAATTTTACACACTAGGTACCTATAAGTAGGTACTTTGAAAGAAAACAAACAACAAATAACAAATCGGTCAATACCGTTGTAAATTGTACAGGTAAATCGTTTCTTAAACACTAGCTGTAGCTACTGTTAAAGTATACTATCAGTCGAAATCAAGTTTACGATTGGTAAACAGTAGTCGAAACGTCGATCGAAAACTGTTTGAGAATACGAATTTTTGAATTGGTCGTAAATATATTCGCTTTTGATTGAAAACCCTTTTCGATTGATTTGAGAATAGGCCCCTCCACATATTTTATACAAGGTATATGAAAGTCTTTGTTTTAACAACAAGTTCGTATTCTGAATAATATCTAGATTATTCAGAATAAATTATATAAATCATCAAAAATCTAAATTTAAACACAGTTGTGTATAATAAAAAATAATAATCTATTATACATCATTTATAAATAAGATAAAAAATAATATAACAGTCTATAGTTAGATATCAATACAGTCTCGTAAACAAATGAAAAAAATCGCGTAATGCTCGTCGTCGCTATGCAGTCTTATCGATTAATTCTATATAATATAATAATAAAACATATAACAATATTAAATCGGATAATTTACAAAAAAAAAAAATATAAACACATAAAGACGTTTTTTAAAACGATTCTATAGCAACAATATATTCAACGAACTAAAATTATTATTCTTTGTCATCTTAGGTAATTCTACAGATAAGTTTTTTGTTATTATTAAATAATATTGGCGGTTTAATGCATTCATCGATACGCGTAACAATTATACGACAAAGTTCATCGTAATTCTTTGCTTTTGACAATATCAAGTCATTGATATTATCTATACAAGACGTATTTTTTGAGTTCTTCCTCAAATTTGTATTCAATGAAATATACTCAACTACCCAACAAACGATACGTAGTCAGTGGCAGAGATACGGTTAATAATGTAATGTTGCTTTTGACGAACGCTACACTTTTCGTAGACACGTGGTTTTTTTCGTGTAAAAAATTAGCATGTTTTTGCAAAATTTTTCCGAATTTTTCGTAGTAATCAGCCACGCGTTTGTTGTTGTCCGCCTTGTGGCTAGTTCGATAAATGTCGGCAAACAAATGAAATAGCATTTTTTTCTGAACGCTTCTATCAACGAGTTCATTGTATGTCAACAAGTCAACGGTCTCCATAGTCCAATAAGTGTACATGAGTACTTCCAACTCGCCTTCAATGAAATCGAATTCCGGTTGTCGTTGTTGATTTTTCGCGCTGCCGTTGCCTTTGTACTATATACTCGTATACTCGCCCCTTATCTGACATTGGTGACATCTCACTCAACCCGTTCAAGTCGGATTCAACCCAGTTGAAGTCACCGTATAGCATGTACTCACTCATAGCCCATCCATAGATATTATTACCTATAAAGTTTATAGTTTAAAGTTTAGGTTTGAAAAAATTAAAAATCAAATATGTTTACAGTCCTGATATATCAACCATGATTTATCCTTAGTCTAGTCATAGTCTGGGGTCTTTATATTATTCCCCTTCGCGTGCCTCATGCTTGCCTGTACCAATCCACCACGAATACCTATACAAATATATAAGATTATTATATATATTTTTTTTTAAAATAATATTGATATACTAACCATTCTCAAACATTAACAACATGTCATAATCAGACAGCAGCTGCAACTTTTGACCTGTATATTTCAACATTGCGTCAAAGCTCAACTCGGGTGCGGTGAAGTAGTGTGTTGCGTCCAAATTGTATATCTTCATACAGACATCACGAAAATTGTCAAAGACGTCCGCCAACAATAAAACGTCGATTTTTAAATATAAATCGCTGTACTCGCCCAACGTCTTGCAACCGAAGTGGTCCCAGACCTCCTTCGCGTGATCAAATTCCTCCTCCTTTATTCCCGACTCGTTTAACGTACTATAAAATTCTCTCTTCCTCGGTAGTCTTTTTCATCCAGCCTCTTCCAACTATCCGTGTACTCGTACGGGTACACCCCCTTCTGAGTAACGAGTGGCATATCGACTTCATCAAAAACTCTAGCGGTCTCTCTGAAGTACTCCAGACCCGGTGTCACAAGATTTTTAGCTAGATTTGACAGTCCTGACGCCATAAACCGAAAAGTGTCGATGAAGCGGATTGTGAATTTATTTGACACGTATTTAGAGAACGATATATATTTTAACTCACTGTTTGGTATTACTGTAATGGCTTGGGTGTCATGACCAAGTTCCGTAACTATCAGGTGCGCGTCGTAGTTCGATAAGTTGTGGAAGTAGCATGGTACGAAAACAGGTGTTTTAAGTTTTTGATTGCACGTGTTGCATAGAGCTTGACGATATTTCCCTGAGAGATGGCAATGGTCAGCTGTCTTACGATGCTGTATTTCTGTGGGTGATGTGAACTTGATTCGACAGAGGTTGCACTGTGTAACTGCTTCATGATTCTGAACATCATCCGCAGACATTTTTATCGGAATATTCGTCTTCAATAATTTCTCAATCTTTAATGCTATTTCAGTTACGGTTTCAACAAACAAATTTTTTTCCAATTTATTCAGCGGTATTGAATACAACGATGATGCTCTATGTCCGTCGTCCGCGTGAAAATCTACGTCCACGACATACGTACATTGATTGACCGTTATAATGATCGTCGATTGAACACATTGGTGCGATAACGATTTGTGAATACTCTTCGTTGGTGTTGTCGTCGTCGTCGTCGTCGTTGTTCGAATGACGACGCTGCGAAATCTTGTCACCATAGTTAATAATAATATGAAATACTTTAAAAATATACTATTATAAAAAATAAAATAAAAATATAAACAGTTTTATTTTTTTCACTATTGACTTTATTAAACTGTTGGTACAAGTCTTTTGTCCGATCAATGTGTGTTTCATATACTTGTTTACAGTTAATATTTAGCAAATCAACTGTTTCGTCGCGCCATGGTAAAAATAGCATAACATTTTCTCTGTAAAAGTCTTGTTCATTTTTATCCACATTAAACAGTACATACCGTATAATTTTTCTGATTTTAAGTTTATGTATACATTTGTTCGGTTTTCCGATTAGCGTGGAGTCAATCGAATGAGCGGTTTCTTCTTCAATATCAGTGTCCAACTCTGAATTGTTCTTGGCAGGTTTTTTTACCACTAATTTCATAATTGGCTCCAAATTCAGCCAAAGTTATATCTTCAAGACTATAATGTCTTGACGAATAGTATTCAATGAGGCCATCATAGAAAGTATCATCATATTGTGGATCCATTTCTTCTCTTACTGCTAATGGCTTCAACATTCTAGTTCTTTTATCCGGGTGGCTGGTGTTTATAAATGTATACCCAGTTGACGTATTGCTTTGCTTCATACCTAAGCAAGTGTACACTGCTTCCAGTGCAGACATTCCCTGACTTCCCGAAAACATGGAAGCTATCCTTTTCAGTTATTCTTTGACATATATATCAGTGGACTTGAGATTCTCGACAATGTTCCTCATTAACTTTGATATTCCACGTTGACTTTTTTCCAATAAATCGTACTCTATTACATATCTGACACAAGAGTAAACATCCAATATAAACTGTATGTCCATATTAGATTGTCACAGCGAAAATAATTCCTCATTGAATCCAGAAATCATTCTTTGTTTTATGGATCGTTTGATAACAGTTCGAAAATGGATTTATATTCATTAACATCTGATATTGATAATTTTTGTAAACTATCTTCTAATGACGGATCTGAAGATGTGTCACAGTCTTTGAAGTCTCTGAGATATTGCAAAAGTTTTTCATATTGTTATATACGAATTTGTCTTGTGATTGCATTACTGTTGTCAGCTGTTAGCGGAGTCAATATGCAGGTTTCATTCATCGGTGGATATGGTATGTTGAAGCGACACTTTTTCATTTGTTTATCTTTGTCAGTCCTGTAACAAGTGTGTGTATATTTATGAGTATTTTTATGTAAATACTCATGTGCAGGACTGCTATCGTCTACCATACACTTGATGTATTTGTAAATTAGCGTTACACAGGCACCAAAAGTTTCCGGTTTAACTGGATCGAAAACAGGTGAATTGTCTAACCACAATAGCATATGTACATGTGGACTTCCTCTATGTTGGTATTCGACCCGGTTAAGAAGTGCTTTACACTGTGTTCTTTAAAAATTACATTTTTTGATTTAATCAATTTGAACAGGGATCTAAACCTGTGGTCAAAAAAAGAAGCACAAACAACAGGATCTTGTCGAATTAAACCTGATTTTTTAGCATAAGTTAGTTCAGTATCGTCAGATAAAGTTTTGGAGTAACGCAGCTTGTATAGAATTTTCAATAAATCAATCCAAGTTGATTCACAAGGGCTAAATATTATTAATAATGTCGGTTGCCCTTTTTGACGCACCATAGCGAAAACGGTTTTAATCATTGCAGCTAGATATGACGGTGAGTTTTGTGCGTTGTGTAGCATTCGGTATCCTTGATCGTTATCTATCATTTTATTTTTAAGACTTCTGGATTTGCTACGTCATTAACAGTTGTGTTTCCTTTTTTATTTTTTCGTAAAACAATTTGCACATTACTAGCGATTAATTTTTGAACTAATACTTTGCATTTGAAAAATAAGTTAGAAGAGTCTGATGCAAATCTTCGATCTACGTTCAGCAGTTCAGATCTTACTACTTTTGAATAATTCTTTAGAGGTGATTTATTAGTGCGTGGATGTCCTCCAAACAAATTGGGAAACGCTTTTTCTTCCGCTTGATCATCAATGAGAATAGGTTTAACGGAATAGAACAACGGTTTCATGCCTTCACCTGGAGCAAAAGAGACGAAATCGCAGTTTTCAATCATCCATTGTTCCCGGATTGATTGGTTTGATATTTGTATCTTCATCATCAGTTCCTTCGCTTTCGAGATCCGAACTATTTTCCATACTCTTGGTGGTTTCTGTGACATGAGCCGACCAAACTCTGTCTATTTCAGCACCTTGATACAGAGGTTTTTTAATCAAATCTTGCAATGCTGCTACTACTAACGACGGTCTAACATTTTGATAAAGATAATGTTGTTTAAAACATGATTTTCTTTTCAATTTAACTTTTATCATTTTAACCGCTGCTAAATTGTCGGCACGTCTGGGCAAAATAGATGTAGTCTTAGTGAGATCTATCTGAACATTGATAACGTTGCCTTTGATTTTTAGCTGTCCGTCACTGCGGAGACATTTGAATATTTTCATAAATGGTAATCTACGTGAAACCATCTGCTTTTCAAATGGATTTAGTTGAGTAACTGAAGGTGGAACACTGTTCAACTCAAAACCATTTCATATGTACAATGGAAGAATTTTTGATTTCTTCATATGCGGATGACAACTTGTGCATACCTGTACACTACTCTTGACATCACTTGGAATTTACATCCCTAATCGCCTGAGAAGATCGGAGTTGCACTTATTGACACTACATGGGAAACGTAATCGATGGCACGAATAACATTTTTCTGATAAACCTTTTTCAAAATATATTCAGAAAATAAAACATCTTCCCTCTGACTGGTTTCATTTAATTTCTGCCGTTCTCTTCTTTCATATGATGTAGAATTTGGTGTTTTTCTTTTACTAGATATATTTTGCAGAAGACTACTATCAGATGGTATTCTTCTCTTCTTCATGTTTTGAGAGTATTTTATTTTATATATATTTTTGAAAACTGAATTTTTCAGTCTTTTTGATCTGTTTATTTCACTGGCAATCTGGTTTTTAACTTAATTTGTTTGTTTGTCCATGTTTAAACGACTGGTGATCTGGTTTTTAAGTTTATTCGCCAGATCTTGCAATCGTTTGTCCATATTTTTCCGACAAGTGATCTGGTGTTTTTTTCTATTCACAGGGTCTTGCAATCGTTTCACCATGGTTTGACGACTGGTAATCTGGTTTTTAACTTTATTCGGTGGATCTTGCAGTCGTACGTCTATGTTTTTACGACTAGTGATCTCGTTTTTTAATTTATTCACCGGATTAAATCACATTGAGGTAAATTACCAACCAGTTTTTCAAAACTAGGAGCCATAAATCTACAAGTATCCACGAATTGAATTTGAAATCGATTTGTAATATATTTTGTAAATAAAATAAATTTTTCTTCTGAGTTTGGTAT